TGTATAATCTTATATAATTATAATGTATTATTAAATATGAAATATAATACGTTTCACTTACTGAATGAACAAATTTCCAAATACTTTTTTCAGATGAAGGCTATGTGCAATGTAGAAGTGAGAAAACTACCATATAACACCCCACACGTGCACCATCATGAAAACGGGGCGTGGAAACTCCTTACTATCACGGTAGGTTAATCACAATGTGTCAAAAAGAGGTGGTTGGTAAGGGATGGGGTGGAACGAGACTATCGAATGAAACACATGGGTGTGTGTGTGTGTGTGTGTGCGTATGTATGTACTGTATGTATATATTTAGAAATGGATTGAAAAACGTGCTTGTACATAATATGATGTTAAAATCGTATCAAACATACTCATCAACGAAAATTTCTTGTTTCAGTTGTACGAAAAGGTGACTCTGGCGGAATATGAACCTACAACATCTCGCTGTCAGGATGAGAATCAGCGAGATGTTGCAGGCTCTGTAAAGTGCTGCCATTTTATCAGTTATTAGTCATATAATGTAACCAAATTATAAATCCCTGCGATGAATGTGTATGATTTAGTACAATCTAGTCGGTAGTATAAGTAATCGATATTATTGTTTGTATTTTTAGGATCTTCTAAAAGAGTACGGCGCTGTTTTCCTTACCAGTCCCAGAGTTCGCTTCAGAACTCCCATCACCTTTCTGCTGCCATTTGTCAAGAAGCACAATGGAATCATTGGTAAAGTGAATCCTAGCCACAAAACTGTAGATGTTACGCATCCCAACGTCTATCGTGTGTTTAATTTAAGCCACGTTGCAAAGACTTACCAAAATGGTTCAATACTTTCAGAAGATGCATTGCTCTTAGTTAACAACTCAGCGATTTATACGACGATGTTAGAACCATTAAGGGCGTGCGCATTAAAATGGAAATGTATTGCGCCCGCTGGAGCAACCAAACGCACAGTGAAACCAGTTGGACGAACGCACACCCATCGGTACGAAATGTCGATTTTTACATTATTAATGTACAGAATCTTTGGTGATAAATGGTCACTGGATACGCATGTACAGGATTTAATGAATAGGACATACGAATTGGTTTCTAGTTCACATGCAAATGATCACCTTTGGGCTCATTTCTGTAACCCACCGAAGAAAGAAGTAAATTGTAAAAAAAATGAAAGTAAATGCTAATATTAAACACAGTAGTATAAATTTTAATATCAGCCCTGCGCAATCACGATAATTGCTATTAAACCAGTATTAGGCTTATATAATGAATTTTGCATATTGTTAGGTATCAAACTATAAGTTTTCGCATTAAAATGGTAAGTATTATTATAAATTTAATAATAGACCAGTAATATTGATATTATTATTACATATTAATTTAATATCAATTAATATTTTTTTTAAAGTTTGAATTATAGAAAACGATATATTCAGATGTAGTAGTACATAGCTATGTTAAGGAATAAATTAAAATATAAACGGAACTACGCATAAAGACACACAGAGACAATGGTTTCACCACATATTGTGTTTGTCTACATAATATTTCATTAGAATACTATTTACAGTATCTCAAAATATGAACTTTTGGGATTATAAAATATTTTATTCAACTGCATTAAGTGTTTTAAACATGCAAAGCAATATATTTTATGTACAATGTAAGTTTCAAATGGAAACTGTATTGTGTTCGTGGCCGTATCAAAATCTGAAACATTGAGACGTACAAATTAATGTAACAGAAAACTCGTTTTCTTTTAGTCATAATAATGAAGTTAACGATTTCGACTCAACTCAGGTGTTTAAAATCTACGTTATTTCCTGAAAATATAATAGACTAGTTGATCGATTGATGAACAGCAAACGCATGCATAATGATGCCCATAAAAATCTCCAAACAAACCTCTGCTCAAATAACCCTATTATGAATAGGAAGTTATCGATATCATAGCATAAACGTTGACTCCACCTACATTTTAATTGCGCATGCATAGTTGTGTTCAGGCCTTGAAAAGTTAAGCTAATTTCAACAGGGCTTCTTATGTCATACGTTGGAATTTTGAAAAGTATACGAAAAGATACACGTACGTTTCATAACAAAATGCATGTGTGTAGGTCTATAATCTAGTGATATTTTTTTAAAGATAGGTTTTATGATACAATTTTGCTCGCATATTAAAGTTTCCCATTTAATTAATAAAAGAGTTAAATTAAAATTATAAAAACGAGCAAAATAAAATCTTGAGTAAGCACCACCTATCAAGACGACGGGTTCATCATCTGCAAGAGCTGGTACGAGTCAACTCCAACTTGCTTTGCTATGTCCGACACATCTAGTCCCCATAAACGCATGTACTGCAAGAAATCCATTTCTTCTCCTACAAAATAAATACAAAATTATGATCGCATCAGTTGATTAATTGAATGGTAAAGTTGTATTTATTTAAAAAACAAAGCCCGGGGCGTTTAATGTTGAGAAGGGTTTTTGTGGGGGTGGGGGTCTTGTATTCAAGGGAAGCGTTTATTCAAGGAAGGCATTTATTTTTGTTGGTGTTATACTCAAATAACCCCTTCAAATGGGTTATTGCGTTATCACAGAGACTTATTTATCCCAACCAGGTTAGAAACAAATTTTCTACTGGAATAGAACATTAATAGACTGTATTGAGAATGATATTGCTTCCATTAAATTTGTTTACAGATATTCAGGGAGCGTTTATTCGAGGAAAAAAATAAACGCCTCGGGGCGTTATTCGAGGAAGACGTTTATTTAAAATGAGGAAGGGGAGTTTATTCGAGGGGCGTTTATTAAAAGCTGGGCGTTTATTCGAATAAATATGGTTATAATATTCTAGCTGGTCGTCAAATTCACATATCAATACTTTAATAACTTTACTACTTGTCACAAACCTGTGTATCGATTCTTGATTTTAGGACACGTAGGGTTATTACAATGCGGACAATCAGCATGGTCTAGCAGATGGTGTTGGCAACGGTTCCTGGAGTTCCGTAGAGATATTCCAACCCCTGGATCGTCGCTAACTACGCCCTGGTTACCAATAGACCTAGGCCTATTGTTGCTATTTTCATCATTATTCTTTTTATTGTTTGAGTTTCCTTCCTTTTTAGTTCTCCTTTTGCGATTATTCTTAAATTGTCTTCTCGATTCTGAAATTAAAATCATAGAATAGGCCTGATTTATTTGTATTAGCGATATAAAGCAATGCAGCTGATTTAATCGTAGCATGTTTTGCGAGAATAAAGTTGGTTTAATTGACCTGTCATACAAAAAGTCGGCTGATCATGACAACTGTAATAAAGAGACATTACAAAAAAAATAAAAAATAAATAAAAACATGTCGCATAGCAACCTATAGACATTAAAAATCTTGATGAAGAATAAGGGTATTCCTGATCATTTGAATAACATGGAAGGAGCTGCAGTAACCCAAGCCCGAGTATAATGATGACGACGACGACAATGATGATGATGATAAGGATAAATGATGATGGATGATGACGATAATGGTGGCGAGGATAAGATATGAGTGTGAATCATCAAGGATAATGTCCGAAAACTTTCCAGTGGGTCCTTCTGGTGGTGAATTGGGCAGTACGGTACACCGGGAGACAATCCCCTACTCTTTTTTGAATAGTGTACTGCGTCCTTTAACATGCACATGGGCCATAATGCACACGAGACCAACGGGTTAAATGTCTCATTCGAAAGACGGTGGGCTTATTAACTTGCATTTCAGCTCTCCAGCTGCCCGTAGGAAAATAATGTATAGAATTTCTAAAGAAACCATTCTATAAAATTTCTACAGCTTT